GGTTAGACGTGTACTGGTAATGGTTAGGTTTAAGGTTAGGCGTGTACTGGTAATGGTTAGGTTTAAGGTTAGGCGTGTACTGGTAATGGTTAGGTTTAAGGTTAGGCGTGTATTGGTAATGGTTAGGTTTAGGGTTAGGTGTGTACTTGCACTGGTAATGTTTAGGGTTAGAGTAAGGGTCAGGGTTAGTCTATAGAATGAAAAATGAATGGAAGTCAATGCAAAGTCCCTGTAAAGATAGAATGATAAAGTTGTGTGTGTTTGTGTGTATTCTGTGAGCCAGGAACATTTGGGCAGATGGCATCAAGTTCCCCTCGGCTCATTTTACTCCCTGCCGCCCTCTGATGTCCTTGTACTGTACGTGGGTGTGTATGCCTGTGTCGGTGCGTGTGTGTGTGTATACGTGTGTACGTTACTCATTGTGAGGGAACAACTGTTGTTTTTTGAGGATTTGCTCTTCTTAAATCATCAAATATCAAGGTTAATCAAGCAGCGCTTATACAGTAGTTATTTGTGGGACTACGGACAAGAAAATGGTAAATGTACTTATACATTGCCTTTCTATCTAATCCAGATAATCAAAGTGCTTTACAACACAATCTGTGCCCTCATTTACCCAAAAATAAATGGATTGTTCATGTATTGTGTGTGTGTGTGTGTGTGTGTGTGTGTGTGTGTGTGTGTGCGTGCGTGCGTGCGTGCGTGCGTGCGTGCGTGCGTGCGTGTGTGTGTGCATCCCTTGGCAGTGACATCATCAGTGTATGTGTTTATATCCAGGGGTCAGTGAGGTCGCACTTTGCATTGTTCTCATGCTGAGTTTATATGTTCAACAGTGTTCGTGTATGTTTTTAGTGAATAGGTTAAAATAATACAGCTCTTCAGAGGGAAATAAAACATGAGCAGATGAAAACAAATTAAATTAAAAATGACTTTTATCGTCCATTTCCTAATTAAAGCCATTCTCTGAGCGAGCAGCTCTCTGAGACGGTGTGTGTAAATGTACTACGATGAAATAAATCTTCACGCAGGAAGCAGCTGAGTCACCGAGGATGTAAAGATATGACATAAAAAATAAACATAATAAAAAACAAATCCCAGTAACAATGCGACATAAAGCCCCATGAATTCCATTAAATGTTACTGTGGTGCAAAAGATTTTCTTTCACCCCTTTACGATGACTGATCTTTAAAAAGTGGAAACTTTACGAGCCGCTTGTCTTTCAGATCCTGTCCATCGGCGTTCTGGACATCTTTGGCTTCGAGGACTACGAGAACAACAGCTTCGAACAGTTCTGCATCAACTTCGCAAACGAGCGACTGCAACACTATTTTAACCAACACATCTTTAAACTGGAACAGGTATGATCGTGATGGTGTTTCTTGTTTCCTTAGGGGCTGTTGGTGGCTCATTTGCTAGAACTGCTGTCTCTCAGCGAGAAGGTTGCCAGTTCAAATCCCGGCCCAGGACTATTCTGAATGGAGTTTGCATGTTCTCTCCGTGCATGCGTGGGTTTTCTCCAAGTACTCCGGTTTCCTCTCACAGACCAAAAACATGCATGTTAGACTGATTGGTAACTCTAAATTGTCTCTAGGTGAGAGATAGTGAATGGTTGTTTGTCTCTGTGTCCCTGTTATGGACTGGAGACCTGTCCTGGTTGTCCCCGCCTCTCGCATAGTGATAGCTGGACATGGACACCAGTGACCCCTGGGACCCGAAAAGGAAGAAGCGGGTAAAAATAATGGATGGATGGATGAATAAACAACAGTCTCATCAACACCAATGGCAAAACTAGATGACACACTCTACCAGTTATGTGCTTTAACTGTTGCCACAAGGTGATAATCAATAAATGGGTCATAAACAATCACGTGAGGAATTTACTCACTTTTGAATCAATGGCTCATGGGAGTTTTTTTAAACTGCTGCTTTTCTGACATCTTGTATCAGCTAGCTATACTGCAATGCTAACACTAGCTTGTACATAACAGGAACTGTCAGGGGGATTTAGGTACTGGTCATGGATGCTACCACTTACTAATGTTAAGTTAATGTGGAGCCATGTGTGTTAGAGAGCTGCTTTGCAGCTCAAGAGACAGCTCTCTGAAGAGCACGGAGCATGCACACCTGATGATCTCCAAGGCCTCGTCCGTTGTCTGTCAGCTGGACAGCAGAGGCTGCGTTGACCTCGTCTCTGATAAGCATTATATAAAGTAACTTCTTTATACTGTTCGTTGGCAGACCTCGTGACCGGATAACATCTGTGTAAGTCTGTTTTGAATTCTGCCCCCTTGCAAGTAAACTGGGTTGAAAAGTCTTCTCGTGTCCTCAGCGTGGCTTGTTTGAATAATGAGATGATGAAAGGATAATTAATTTATCCAACAGGAATGACAGATTTTTTTCACTACCTTTTTTCAGTTTTCTGTCCTGGTTTGTAACAGTGCTAACTTTTGTAGCATCTACTACTGGGAAAAACAACAGCCCCATCACCCCATGCTTCCTGTGTTAATGGCTACGTGTAGTTAGCATGACTAAAGGTTTTAGAGGGAAAAAGGTAGCAGACTGTCAGTTTTTTCATCCCCACCTCTCTTCATCATTCAATCCACTGCACTTTTGATAGAAATCATTGCCAGCATCACAGTTTTCCTCTCTTTAAAGGACTCCAACACAGGAACAGCTATGTTTCACATTCCTTTTATTTTAATAAAGCAAGTGGGGAACAAAAAAGTAGTCATTTGAGGTAGATGAGTTTCAATCAGCTGGCATGTGTTGATGGATCTGTCAGCTCTCGTCTCCTCTTACTGATGTTTATATTCTGTGGCAGGCCACTGTCAGCTGAAGTGTGACTGGTGGGGGCTGAAAAGAGCAGTTTTGATTTAATGAGTGGAGTCACCCACAGTAAAGATCAGACTGTAATACGGTTAGTGTTTCACAAAAAAAAGTATATAATTTGAAATTACCGTATTGTTCATTAACAATAAATTAGTCAACATTTCTCTTTGTGTTGTCAAACGTTCTGTTAGGAGGTACTTCCTGATTAATATCTCTGTTTTGAACAGACCTTGTATTTGAAGGTTCCTTCCTGTGCTCCATCCATCCATAAATCCATCCATCCGTCCATTATCTTCTGCTCGTTCTGAAGTTGGGTCGTGTGGGCAACAGCTTGAGCAGGGAGGTCCAAACATCTATTTCCACAGCCACCTCTTCTAGCTCTTCTGGGAGGACCCCAAGGTGTTCCCAGGTCAACCGAGAGATGTAGTTTCTGCAGCGTGTCCTGGGTCGTCCCCGGGGTCTCCTCCCAGTCGGACATGCCCGTAGCACCTCTCTAGGGAGACGCCCAGGAAGCATCCTTACCAGATGCCTGAACCACCTCAACTGGCTGCTCTCGATGTGGAGGAGCAGTGGTTCTACTCTGAATCTCTCCCAGTTAACTGAACTTCTCACCCTGTCTCTAAGGGAGAGTCCAGCTACCCTGCAAAGGAAACTCATTTCAACCTCCTGTATCCACGATCTCATTCTTTCAGTCACTACCCAGAGTTCATGACCATTGGTGAGAGTAGGAATGTAGACCGACCAGTAAACGGAGAGCTTTGCCTTACAGGTCAGCTCCCTCTTCACCACAACGGACCGGTACAGAGTCTGCAATACTGCAGATGTTGCACCAATCTGTCTGTCAATCTCATGCTCCATTCTTCCCTCACTCGTGAACAAAACCCCGAGATGCTTGAACTCCTCCACTTGAGGCAGAACCTCACCCTCGATCTGGAGAGATCAATCCACCCTTTTCCAACTGAGGACCATGGCCTCAGATTTGGAGGTGCTGATTCTCATCCCAGCCTCTTCACACTTGGCTGTGAACCGCTCCAGTGAGAGCTGAAGATCACAGCACGATGACGCCAACAGGACCACATCATCTGCAAAGAGCAGAGATGGAATCCTGAGGCCACTGAACCAGACTCCCTCCACCCCCTGGCTGCACCGAGAAATTCTGTCCATAGAAGTTCTGAACAGAATCTGTGACAATGGGCAGCCCTGGTGGAGTCCAACTCCCACCCTTAAGGGGTCCGACTAACTACCGGCAATGCGAACCAAACTCTTGCACCGCTTGTAGGGATTGAACAGCCTGTAGCAACGGAACCTCAAATCCATACTCACGGAGCACCCCACCACAGTGTACCTTGAGGAACACGGTTAAACACCTTTTCCAAGTCCACAAATCACATGTAGACTGGATGGGCAAACTCTCATGACCCCTTGAGGACCCTAGTGAGGGTCAAGAGCTGGTCCAGTGTTCCATGGCCAGGACGGAACCTGCATTGTTCCTCCTGGATCTGAGCTTCCTGTGTTGTGTTCATCTAATAAGTGTCAAAGTGCTGCTGAGATGCTCTCAAGCACTGGATGGTGCCCAGTATTATTTCAACAGAGTCCATGTTTATTATCTTGTAATCACCGGGGCCTCCAAACCTTTGGCTGTCTGCTGTCAGTGAGTTTATGTTACAGGACAACAGCAGAGCCCGGGGCCCTTCTCTGACATGCTGCTCTGGCTTCTTAATCGAGCGTTGCCAGGTCTCGGCTGATTTCTGTTTAATCTTTAAGTGACGTCGTGCAGATGTCATTTGGACAGAAGCTCTCCACACCTTGTCCGTGACCATTAAATGCACCATTAACTGCTGACCAGAGATCAGTCCAAGCATACTTTGAGGCATGGAGAAATTTTCGGGCTTTCATAAACATCTTTGTAATGATTGTTGTTTTTTGGCGTGTTATTTAAGAGGTTTAGATTATGCTGTCAGTAACCCAAAGCTTCATCAATACTTTGAGTAATTTTGTTGGCTTCGGACCCGTCAAAAACTTTTTTACAGCAGTTCAAACACTTGCATTGTCTGATTTTCAGGTTCAAATAAATCTTTGAGGCATTAGACAACGTTAAACCTATTTTGTGTGTGTGTGGGGGGGTTCTTCTTGAATTTACACACAGGGTGACGTATGCAGCTGAGAGTCAATATCAAGTTAAAACTAAACTATCTTCCATTGTTCTGAAAGTCCATTTTTATTTTCTTTGGTCGGTCACCATTCATTTCAAGCTGCAGTCAGTTTTTATTACCATTTAATCGTCTCAATATAAAACATTTCAGGAACGTTTTGTTTACTTTCCGTATTCTTGGATCTAGCGAAAATATATCTTTGGTCAGAAACCGTGAGATGGTCAGAGGAAGTCGGGTATGGCAGGGAAGTATGTGGTAGTAGTACAAGACATTTACAAGGACGGCAGACCGTTTTGAGATGTGCAGCAGGAGTTACAGATGTGTTCCTTTGTTTGGGATCACATCATGGATCAGTTCTGACCCATTCTTGTTTGTAACAATGACAAACATGATGAGGAGTCCCTGTGGACTGTGATGCTTGCAGACACTGCGATCTGTGGTGAGAATAGGGAACAGGTGGAAGAGTTCGTTCTACTTACTCAAAGAAGCCAAACTGTGAGGACACGAGAAGATATTTAACCGCTTTTACTTGTAAGGACAGATGGTCACGACAGGCTTACACGGATGTATAAAGTTACATGCTTGGAGCCCGGTCACGAGAGTCTGCACCGGACGGTGTGCGATACATGCTCATCAGCTCCCACAGGCCTGATGACCTCAGCCTCCCAGCTGTACATGCAAGATCAAGCCAGCTCCTCTCCGTGAGAGAAAGGAACTCTCTGAACTCACACACGGTTCAACATTAATTTAACATTAGTGATAAACTTCCTTGACCTTGACCAAAATTCCCCTGACAGCAATTATGAACAATTATTATCTTGCCTGTTGCAGATGGCTCTTTGAAAGGCCTCACTTTGGAGAACTAGCTTATTTCTAGTTTATAACTAGTTATTATTTGGCGGCGCGACGGCTCGGTGGTTAGCACTGTTGCCTCACAGCAAGAAGGTCCTGGGTTCAATCCCCGGTTGGACCTGTGGTCGTTCTGTGTGGAGTTTGCATGCTCTTCTCGTGCTGCGTGGGTTTTCTCCAGGTACTCCGGTTTCCTCCCACCGCCCAAAAACATGCACGTTAGGCTGCCGTCAGGCCTCGCTTGTAAAAGAGATCTGTGACCTCAGTTAAATAAAGATTAATAAATTAATAAATAACATTTCTGACAGTGTTGACGAGCTAATGGCTAGTCTGAGTGGTGCTGCTGTCCTAAAACACTTCTGTTACCATCATTATGCTGTTGTTGGAGTAGTTTTGTTTAAAACGTCTGTTTTTACTCCCACTGGGAGTTTTGTCCCCGTATGTTCATTTAATGCTGTTGTTTTACGCCCAAGCTGTCATTTTCATCTGATCTGTTAACCCCTCTATCAGAGTACTGTTGCTCTTTCTATTTTTGCTCTTATTAGCTTTCTTTACGCCCCATACGAAGCTCGTGTGTAAATATAGAGGCCTGAAATATTCGCTCTTCCTAAGCAGCTGCTCCTACGTTGCTGGGTTGGTTTGTGTGAAAGGTGATGGTACAACTTCAGTTGTTTTGCAGCTCATCTGAACCGTGACCGAACCCCGTTCTCTGCATGCTTCGTGAACTGAGTCACAGCTCTGCAGCCGTCTGCCTGCTGGCTCGGCCTGTTTACCTTAACGTGCTGCAGTGAAACGGATGAGCGTGCGTGTTTTTGTCTCTTCATCAGCGCGTCTGCAGCTAATTGTCTCTCTGCCTCTTTGAGTCAACACACGTGTCTGAAAACTGCTTCACAGACGCAACAAATTTAGCCTGATGAGCTGCATCAGTGTCCCTGAGCGATTCCCTTGATGAGGTTTAAACAAAAGCACGCGCATGTAGCTTTTAGATACATTTTTTTACAGATTTGCTTTTATTCTGCACGATCTGATCCAACTTTTGGTGGAAAAACGAAGCCCACATGCTCTGAATGCTTTGTCAGTGATTCAGTGATCTACAAGTGGCGGGCAGACGTGTCGCATGTATGAAAATATGTTTGAGTGCAGCTTTGAATACCTCTTTCTCAGTTTAATAACTGGGGCTGTTTGTTGCTGAGGATGGTCGAGCCAAGTTTTAACTTTTTGTTTTTATTACACAATGCTCGTTAAAAAAAGTGCAAAAAATTCAATTAAATGTTTTGCGCACATAAAGAGTAAGAATACACAAAAGACACAACACATCAACTTTTATTTCATATGATTTTTATAAAGAAACAAGAGTTTGACGTACTCTAAATGCACCCAAAATAACTTGTTTTTGTCAGTTTTCCACTCAAGGTAAATAATATGTTTAGGAAGATTTCCAGCTTTCTGAGCCTAACTGAGAATAATGACTAGCTTTAGATTAAACTGTCAGACAGTAAGCACACACACTGGGTTTCAGGACAAGATTAACTAACCTCTCTTTTGGGGGCCCTGTTAAAGAAAATTATGCTGACATTCTGGCCTAACAATCTTCATCAGATCATGAACAAACATGGAGGCTGTTACAGTGTAAGAACTAGTGACTGGCTAATAAAAAGTCACAATAAATTTAACTTCTCTAGTTATCGTGTTGCAAGTTTTATTTGTAAATTAAAGCAAACAACGGTTTGGGTACGAATCATAACCTCTTTGAGAAATTGTCACAAAATTTCTCTTTCTGAATATTTTACTCTGGATAGTGTTGGTCGTAGTTTAGCACCATGGACTAATGCACTCTGGTATAGCACATTTCTTTAAATATTTGATGAATAGTTTTATTTACACTGCACATTAAACTCTTTGTAGTTTTTGTCTCTTTGGATAAATCACCTTCTTATCTTGTGAACTCATTGGCTCCCTGATGTTGACCCTTAATGTTTTGATCATTCCCTGCTAGCGAATACTTACAACTCTGAACTTTGAAAGTATCTAGACATCTTTTGAAAATGTCACTCTACAGCAGCTTCTCTTGGAGAGAAGATTCTAAGCCATGGACTTAACACACTGATCCAATGCACACCTTTTTCTAGCATCTTAACCCAGCTGACAGAGACATTTCAACAAGTGTCTCTCACTGGTTTCTCTCCTGGGGGACACTGAATGGGACATGGGTCATATACCACAGTTGTCAATGGTTTCTGGGGGCTACAACCTTCTCCAATTGGCTGTTCTTTCACTGACAACAACCATCCAGACTGATGTTTTAATGGTGGCGATTCAGGGTTTGAAGTGAAATGTCATCCTAAGTAGGAATTTTTTGTTGAATAGTATGAAAAGTTTGCAGAAATATAAACCTTTTTGACTTTGGTACTTTTTCTTATCATTGTCAAAATTCCATTTAAGTTTTAATTTAAGTCCCACCCTGGTTAAAATGGTGTCGCCAAAAAAATGAGAATTAAAAACCTGATTAAGATATCGTAGTAATTGAAGCAGTGTTTTTGGATCTAAAATGGCTTTTGTCACATTAAACCATCTTCTTCTTTTTCTTTCGACTTTTCCTTCTTCAGGGGTCACCACAGTGAGTCATCTTCCTCCATCTCACTCTGTCCTCCGCATCCTCTGTCCTCACTCCAACTACCTCCATGTACTGCATCCATGTATCTCCTCTTTGACGCATTAATCCGTAATATACTTATTCAGAAGGGATTTTATTTTCTTCATTAAGCTTACAGTAGTTTCAGTCACACAAATTGCCAACAGTGTGCTATCATTGGTTATGAAATATCAACCTTTTAAAGTTAATACAGGTGTACCACAAGGCTATGGTCTTGGCCTACTTGTTTTTTGTTTATGTATGAATGATATGCTCTGTAGTTGTCCTGATGCAGGTTCACATGTACGCTGATGACTCAGTTGTATATGTGACTTCTACCTTTGGGATGGACTTTGGGTTTGTTAAAAAAAAAAGAAAAAAAAAAAAGATCAACATTAAAACAAAACACAAAAACTTAAGGGAAGTCATTGAATACCCCAGACGTTTTTTTAAAGCTTTATAAGTTCACTGCAACCAGAAAACTCAGACTGTGTTGCTGTGATGATGTTACATGTTTGGAAAATTGTTGGGTTTCCCTGATCACAGACCCTTAAACTTTCTGATTTTACTGAATGGGTCATTTTTGGGGTTTTTTGCAGGAGGAGTACAGGGCAGAGGGCATCACGTGGCACAACATTGACTACATCGACAACAGCAGCTGCATCAACCTCATCAGCAAGAAGCCTACGGCTCTGTTCCACCTGCTGGACGAGGAGTGCAAGTATGTCACCTGTCGAGTCTAATCCCCTCGCCTCACTCACGATTCAAAAAGTTACCAGTTTCTGTGTGAACGATTAGATTATGCTGCAACACAGCAAGCCGTGATTGTTCACATTCAGTTCATCTTAGAAAAGGTTCCCATCACTAATAAACGTAAAGTTTGGGATCCATAGACGGAGGCATCAGTTTTGTGTTGTTGCTGATGTCATTAAAGTCGTGTTGCTGCAAATCCTGTCATTCACTGAAAATGCACGATACAGATCATTTTAATATTAACTAGGATTTTCTTTCAAAACACGAAGTCGCCTTACACGGATCGAACATCCTAATTGATTGAAAAACACAAATCTTTACTGGGTTGCTGGGAGTTTTTGTGTGAATCGTTTCAAACCTCCAGCTGATAAATTACGTTCAACTTTCTTTATAGTTTTGTCATTTTAAATTGCATCTAAACAAATTGCTAATTATCTTTTGGTATAAATTAGAGCTGGACTTTAAACTTTATTGTGCCATTTTATGGTATCGATATAAGAGCTGGATTATGATTGGTAAAACTGAGACACCTTTAAAATCAAACTGGTTCACTTGTGTAACGTTAAATCTCCTTAGAGAAATGATCTTAGGTACCTTTTTATGCTGATGATATGGATGATTATATATTTATTCTTTTCACTCCGCTTCTAAACTGAGGTAAATTTCTCCCTCTGATTTGTCCTTTCACTTCGTTGTCTGTTTTTGATTTTAAAATGTTCCACTGCAGGACAGCACTTTGTCTCTGAACCTATTTTCCTTCATGAATCAAATCTTATATGCTGCGACCCCCCCCCCCCCCCCCCCCCGTAGTAAAACCCACCAGGCGGTGCACACACAGTCATATTTATCTGTTAGCTGTCATCTAACTTACCACTTAGTGTAGCTGCTTCATCTGGATCCAATAACACCTCAAACGTTGCATCTATGTGTCTGTGTGGAAAGAAAGGGGTCATTTTTGGAAAATCTGGGTCAAAGTGGGAAATCTCCTGAAAAGAAAAACAGGGGGGGGCTCTCTGTGGGTTTTTATGCTGCCAGTGGGTGAAGCCGAAAGATTACAGAGAAAGCAGAGGAGATGCTCAAAGATGTCATCATTCACAGTTAGTGAAGCTAGTGGGGCCTTGGGGCCTCTGGAGAGATGGATTAGGTTACTACAGAGTAGAGGTGTTGGGGGGGGGGGGGGGGGGGGGGGGGTCATTTCTCTGGTGAAAGCATCTAGCTTTGTGACCCCTGCGGATATACTTGAACCTGCTGTGTTGTTCTGAGGTGAAGGGAGGAGAGCTTTGGATAATATAAAACGTCTATTGGAATGTTGATCCAGCCTGCAGAGGTTTAGCAGCGAACGGCTAAAATGTTCATGAATCAAAGGTGAAACCACCGAAGAAGAATGTGGGAGCGGAGCCGCAGTTTTAGGCACAATGACAAGTTTGGGTGGAATATTTTCCTCGAGGGTCGGAGGAGTGAACCTTTCTGTACGTACAGTTTGCATTCTTTTTCATTAAATACGTTCCTTGGGCCTGATCTTCAGCCGCTCCATTGACACTGCAGTCAAAATAAAAGTAACTTAAAACCAGGTTAATCTATAATTTAATAAGTGTGTTCATGTGCCACTGTATGTTCTTTTCCAAAGAACAGAATGAAAACCAAATATTGCTGTGAAATAATGAATGGTGTAGTAAAATTATATAAATATATTTTTTAATCAGAACCAATTTTTTTGATTAAATGCAGTAATTCATAAAAGTTTTAATATTTTGGTAATCTTTGTTAATTAGAGTTTGAATTTAATTACAAGTGTTTATGATAATTCTTCATGTCGTTGCCTTTACAAAGCAATATTGAAATACCAGCAGAGCTTCTCAGTTTGAGGTCTGGACTTTGGATCATTCTAGGACCTTTAACTGGTTTTCCTTAAACCACTGGAGTGTTGCTTCAGCGGTGTCTCTGTTCTGCTGAAGACTCAAAGGTTCCTTCAAAAGTCTTTCTATAATTTGCATTCCTTTAACTCTGTTCAAGTTTCCCTGTCTCTGCTGATGGAAAAAACAATCCCACAACATGATGCTTCCACCACCTTTCTTCTCTGTGAAGGTCTTTCTTCCCCATATCAGAAATAAAATGTTTAATTTTAGTTTAATTTATCACACCACTTTCAATAAATTCCAGTCTTTTTGTCAAGTATTGTCTTTCTCCTGCCACTCTTCCATAAAGGTTATCTTTGTCCTCCTGAGTGTTTCTCTGGTTTATGCCCTCCATCCCTGGTCCAGGAGTTTTTCTGGACCCTTTCTTGGCAGGTGGTGGCATCATCGTTCCATTTCCTAATAAATGATTGTAATGGAGCTCTGTGGAATCTTCAGGGTTTTTTATCTCTGAACTGTGTGGAGAGTTCCTTGGTCTTCGTCTTGTCTCTTACTTCTTGTTGGTGTTGATTCTGTGGTTTGTTGCAACAGATTCTGAGACCATCTGACGCTTAGATTGCTCACTGCACAGGTGGATCCTATTTAATTTTATGACTGCTGAAAGTAATGGCTGTGACTTCAAAGCAAATGCAATATTCTGAAGTATTTGATTTAATGTTGAAGTAAATTGACAATCTGATAAGGTTGTAAGGCAATAAAATAGAAATTTACAATCGGGGTGAATACTAGTTGAAAAGTCTAGACATGGAATTTAGTCTAGGTTGCTTTAATGAAATGTAAAAATATATATTTTTGACTTTATTTTATTTTTTTTAAGTTTCCCTCAAGCTTCTAATCAGACGTTGCTGGACAAGTTCAAGCGTCAGCATGAAGGAAACAGCTACATTGAGTTCCCCGCTGTCATGGAGCCCGCCTTCATCATCAGACACTACGCTGGCAAAGTCAAGTACGGAGTCAAGGTGAGAAAGTTTGGGGATGTGTAAGAGGAATTATTCTCTGCGAGAATAATTCATTCACACTGGTTTGATGCTACAAAAGCAACATTTATTCATCACAGCCACTGGCCGTGATGAATAACACAGTCAACTTTAAATAAATTAATCAAGTTTATGACGTATCCATTTCCACAAGAGTATTTATTAGAGCCCAAATGATATATTGGTAGGGCAGATATAGGCATTTGGGGACATAGCGGTATTGGTGATAATTATCCCATTATATGCTGATATAAACACTGGGAACAAGCTGTATCCTTACTTGCACACAGTGTAATTGTACAGTGTATCCAGCAGAGGGCGCATACAGACTACTTTCAAGTCGTGGCCGTTCACTTTAAGTTTCACTTTCATCACAGACGAAGCAGGGAACCATTAAAAACTGTGTAGTGCATTTTGCTGAACAGAGCATGGTAAGTTTATTTTAACTGATCTGTAAAATAAATCAACAGTAATAATTTCGCTTCAATCCTCCAACCCGCTTGTCATTAGCTACGTGCCTCTCAAGTTAGCAAGCTAACATTTAGCTAACCTAGCATAGGCTATTACCTTGTGAAGCTTTATCCAGAACAATAAATCTAACGTAGCAGTAAATATACATCAATGTTAGTAACGTTATCTTTGTCGTCTTCAATAAAATGCATTGTTTGTCTGAAATATGTACTTCTCTGCAGAGAAAATAAACTGCTACAGTCAGTACTAATTAGACCTTCAGCATACGTGACTGACTGTTTAAACAATGAACAGGGAAGGTGTTTCTTTGTTTAATTTATATTTTGTAACACTTGATAACTTGATGGTGAATAGTGGAAGATAGAAAATGTGAACACATGTTAGGAAGACTGTTTCAAAAAGTGTTAAAACGGGTTTAAAGTAGCTGTTTTCTTTGATTCTTGGGGGTGGACAAAGCTCAAAAATTTTCAGGCATTATATCGGTTATTGTCCGGCACCCCTTTCCAGTATGGGTATTAGCGATAGCCAAAATTTCCATATCAATTGGGCTCTAGAGTTTATTGATACAGATATAAAATTTTAAAAGTTAAAGCAGAAAGCAGCAGTCCATCTATTTCCCTCTCTGCTGACTTATTTTTCTGGCTAGATCTGATTCTCTGTTTTCCAGCTGTGTGATGATAAGAAGCACATGTGCTGGAATGGGTAACATTTGACTGCATGAAATAAATTCATAACTGCTGATCACGACTGTGGAAACGTATCCCACACCAGCTGAGAGCCAAGGAGGCCTTTGCTGTCAACTATTGAGCTGTGGTGCTAAAAAGTGTGTGAGGAAGAACGCAGCGCTCGCTTTTGTCTTACGAATGGAGAAAACCTTGAAGAGTTCTGGGTTTTTAATGCGGAGATCAGCTCAAATGTCTAATTCCTTACAGACTGTCTTTGCCCCACAGTTACAGCCAAGCAAGAAGCGTTTAAATTATTTTTATGACGTTATTCCTAAAGTTATCACTGTTCATTAGAAGACTAAAGCAATAGTTACATTTATGTGAAATAATACTTGGAACACCAAAATGATAGAATGTGGGAAAAAGGTGAAATTAAAATGTTAAACTCTTCCTCTTGAACTCAGTCCCCATAATTGCAGAGCGACAACGTTTTGGCCAAAAGCAGTTGTAAAGTGCACTGCCAAGTGTTTCTCCACAGCACAACAAATAATAAAAATCCTGACGGAGGAAAACAGTTGCTGTTGTTGATGTTACTTGATCTGCGTGGTTTTATGTTTGAATAACTGACTTTTGAATGTCTGTGAGTTTGCAGCTATAAAATTACCCTGAAAGGCAAATAACAGAAAACAAATGACACTACTATGGTAATACAAATGGTGGATTCAGAAAGTTTTCAATACTTTTATTTATTAATAAACACTCGGTATCCAATAATAAAGTAAAAACTAAATTCTTTTTGTAATCACATAAAAATACTCCCATATTTCCTGGTTGTTAAGATTTTTCTACAGCTTGATTGAAGTCAATCTGTGGTAAACTTAATTCTTTGGGCATGAATTTAAAAGGCTTCTCTATAGAAGATAATCAGATGCTGATAATCAGATCAAAAACCAAGCATAAGGTCAAATGCGCTACTTGCAGAGCTCACAGTATTGGGATATGGGGAATGCTACAAAAATATTTCTGCTGCACTAAAGGTTTTCCAGAGCTCAGCGGCCTTCATAATTCTGAAATGGAAATTCTGGAAATGGTTCTTGGCACAACCAGGACTCTTCCAAAGAGCTGGTTGCCCAATCCATGAACAGTCAAGAGAGAAGGACCTTAGTAAGAGAGGTGACCAAGAGCCCCTGATAGTCACTGTGACTGAGCTTCAGAGTCCTGTGAGGAGACTATGGGGCTATGTTTCAGAAGGACAAGCTGAATGAAGTGTGGCTCAATGAAAGCCTTTTCTCAGCAACACACATAAGCATTTAACTGAAGGACACCTAGATTGTGACAAACAGGATTCTCTGGTCTAATGAATCCAAGACTGAACCATTTGTTCTCAAGTCTAACTGCACCGCGCCTCATCTGTCCAACACTATCTCTACAGTGAAGCACGGTGGTGGCAGCATCTTGCTTTATGAAGAGTGTTTTTTAATCAGCAATCATTGGAAGACTGGTCAGGATGGAGGTAAAGCTGAATGCAGCAGATATTCTTAATGAAAGCCACCGTGTCAGAACCTCAGACTGAGCTGAAGCTTCAACGATCCAAAACATGCAAAGGAAATGAAGATAACTGTGAATGTCTTAGAGCAGGGGTGTCAAACTCACATAAAAAAGGCAGCCAAAATTAAAACCTTTTTCAAACTAAAGGCCGGTTTCAGAATCTACATTAACTCAAGTTAGATACCCAACATCTTTTCTTGGTTGCAGGTTCCTCGACAAGAGTTTGATTGGTCTCATTTGACGTTCTCTGTTGCACTTTTGACATTATAATCAAAGTTTACAAAAAAAATTCAAGTTATAAAATAATTTTACATTGGGGGCCAGATAAGATGTTAACGAGGGCCACATTTGGCCCCCGGGCCTTGAATTTGACACATGTCTTAGAGTGACCCAGCCAGATTCTTGTAAAGACCTGAAAATGGCTCCACCAACAGTCCTCGTCCTCGCAGTGAGCTTATGAGGATTTCTTATCAGAAAATCCTCCGATCCAGGTGAGCAACGTTTGTTGCATCAAACCCAGTTGAGTTTGAACCTTCTGCCAAACGGGCTTCAACTCAGATCAAAGGAAAATACTCTGAATATAGTAAATGTGATATCGCTTTCTAATAAATTTACAACTGCTCATCATTTTCTTTTCATTTTGCTATTATGCTTTACTGAGTGTAGATAAGGGTAAAAAAGATGTAGTTTTAATAACTGTAGCATCAAACTACAACATAAAGTAAAGGGGTTTGAAATGCTTTCTAACTTAGCTGTTTAATTAATTTTATAAATTAACAGAAGTCTGGTGTGTGTGTGTGTGTGTGTGTGTGGTTTTCCTATATTCAGGACTTCAGGGAGAAGAACACTGACCACATGCGGCCTGACATCGTCGCCTTGCTGAAGAGCAGCAAGAACGCCTTCATCTGCGGCCTGATGGGAATCGACCCTGTGGCGACCTTCCGCTGGGCCGTGCTGCGGGCTTACTTTAGAGCTGTTGTGGCTTTCAGGGAGGCCGGCCGCAGACACATCCACAAAAAATCAGGTGAGCCCACTAAATGTTAATCTGTAAAACTCACTCGTTGGATCCTTTTTTGTTTGTTTGTTTGTTCTATTTGCTGCAGTGGCCACGTTGCAACAAACTGACGTCAAAATTCAATAAAATCTAGATATGCTGTACGTGTTAGGGAATTTTTGGTCAGGGTTATGGATGTTTTTAACTACTGTGGCTGAGATGTTAACTGCCCACGAACTGTCTGAATTTAATGTTTTTATTGAACATTTTTGGCCCTTAGGTCACTGGTTCGTATCCGGCTCGAAGGACCAAAAATGTTGGATAAAAATATCTTCTATCTTACTTACTCAAAATAAGCCACACTCGATGTCAGGAGAAGATTTTTATCTGGTTTTACTTGCAAGGACAGATTATCACAACAGGTTACACAGATGTACAAAAAGGATACATTAATGGAGCCCAGAGAATCTGCAGTGATGGAGCTTGTATTTCTCACAGACTCTGAGGTGGCCATGAAACGACAGCTGTCGCATGCCTGCAGCCTCAAATCAGACTGTTCGTGGGCTGTTAACATTCTCAGCCATAGTAGTTAAAAACATCCAGAACCTTGACCCCAAATTTCCTAATAGTACATCTAATATTTTTCTGAGAATCTCGTTAAAATCTATACAGTGGTTCTTGAGATGTTTTGCTAACAGACTAACGAGCATACACACACAGTCACAAACACATGATGGCCAACTGCCATGAAAAGTGGTAATAATTATTAAGGAGTACTAATCAGGATTTATCGTTACAGCTGGTGAGTTATTGGGATTAGGCAGATTAGCTGACTTCATTAATGTTGATTGAGCTCAACTCTCAGTAGGTCAAACCTAATTTTGAAGCACGTTATAGACTTGATCTACTCTCAGTTTAGCTGCTTTAATATTAAAATGGATTTTTCTGTCATAGTTCAAGATTAACCTTTTTTCATTATTATTCTTCAAGTGAATGATGCAGCTGTTCCCTGCACTGTTGTCAAAACTGTCGACAACTTCAGTTTTCTTCACCACCCGGTTCACCAGAGGAGCCTCGAGATCCTTCAGAGGTGCAAAGATGAGAAATACAGTAAGTAGGAAATACTTTATAATATTTTATTCTTCATTTTAGTTTAAAATTTCAACTTGAAGCTGTTTTTAGTTCAAATAAATTCAAATATAAAAGTTATATTGGCGTTGGAAATTCAAAGGACTGCATTTACAGGACATTGTCTTGTAATCAGATTACATTTTCATCAACTCTAGTAATATTTTGACTTGATTTCCTTTTATTAAAGCAGTGCAGAAAAGTGATTTGATTTTAAAATGCAGTAGGAAGCCCTTCGCCTACGATGAATCAGAGAATTGGACCCCTGAAATACAAAGTTTCAAATGAAGGATTTCTTGTGTTTTTCAGAAAGCTGCTTTTATTGCAGCACTTCAGAGGGAAACAGGTTTATGAGTCTGTCTAAGCTCCGAAGGTACTGACTCAGCTCAGAGCCGACAACTAACCTGCACACGAGCGATCGCACAAATGAGTCAGACCTTCGTGGACCTGCGAGGTTTAACGACGCGCAGATTTTCTGTCGGTCGTTTTGTGTGGCCTCGAATTTAAAAGCAGTCGGCAAGAAAACTGAAACCCTCAAAATGTTCAGAAAATCTCAGGGCTCCGCCCACTTCATCAGATTTGTACTTAAATTCAGTTCTCTCACAGAGTTGAAGCAACAAATATTCATTTTTAAATTGCAAAGATCTCATGGTCAGACAAAAGTTAAAAAACGCATCATGAATATTGTCCTGTGCTAACGTCTATTTTAAGTTTTTATGCTAAACTCATCTGTCATTTAAACCATGAATAAACAGGTTTGCTATCGATATAATCTTTTAAAACTCTTACTTTAACCCATTTAGACATAAAGGGATAGTTCAGTATTTTGAGTAGTACTGTAGAAATGTTATGAGTACCTTATTTTTCATCCTATAAGTCACAGTTTTCTGCATAATTTACATGCCCTGTGACTTATTAATTTTTTCTCCCATATTTATAAACCAATTTTTGGCTGAGATATGACCATTTTCATTCATTGTGACATGGAAAATATTGAACACTACCATTTTCAGCCGCTAGATGACACTCGAGTATATGGCATGCCATTGTATCATATAATAGGTAAAAGTGACTATTAATGACACAATGCCATCTTCGTTCAGCTCGCCTGGAACAACCGTCAAATCAGCTTCATTTCGCTGCACCGCCCCGGCAAAATGCAGCTGATTTACCACTGAAGTGCATTTATTAAGTAAAAGTTCAACCGAGACGCACCTTTACTATAAAGTCGAGCAAACAAATAATTGTTTTAGGTGGTTATATTGTTAAATTTCAAAGAAACACACAGCGGGTCGTCCCTCTGCGCGCTCCTACTTCCGCGTATCGGCTTTTGAAATGCAGATTTGACCATCAAAGTGCGTTTATTAATCTAAAGTTAAACTGGGACACACCTTTACTATAATGTCGAGCAAACAAATAATTGTTTTTGAGTGTTAAATTCTTGTTAAAGTCCTCCCGTGCACGCTCCCCCGCCATTTGGCAGCCAGTCGATTTTTGGCACAACACCGGCCCACATTTCCGGGTTGTCAGCGGTGACGCATAATAGATGTGACGTATATAGCGAAGCGACAAGTTTATGGATTTTTCCATTTTATTAGACATATTTGGAAAGATGCGACTTATAAGGCGGTGCGACGTGTACGGCGAAAAATACAGTAGTTAACTGATCTGCTGAAAAAGATCTAAACCGGTGCTGTTCAACCAAACTGCTCAGGGGGCCACAGTTACTGAGAGCCAAGAGCTCAGGGGCCGGACATCCGGCAGTTATTGTCATTAAGTTTGTTTATGGTTTAAAATCTAGTTTTATTTAAAAATGAACACATTGATGGGCCGAACTGAGCTCACCCGTCGGCCTGATTTGGGCCCCGGGCCGTCAGTTGAATACCCCTGATCTAAATTATCCTTTTGGTGTTTTTTTAGATTTTCTGGGAAAAGTTTAACATTTTTAGCCAAATCTTTTTTTTTTAGGTCGTTTTCAAAACCAGAAATTATGTTTGGGGGAAAAAAATTATCTAAGAGTACAAATTATGATCTTAAGTTTGACATTATCGGCTTTGCTTATTATTATTTAAAAAAACTAAAACAACCTTTTTCCAGCACATAATTGTTTTTAAAGATAAATGCGCGTGTGTGTCATAAGAGACCGGTTATCTATTCAAATTACTGATATGCGCAGAAATTCCACCACATTTGTAAAGTTTTTGATCCATTTCACAAATACTTTCAATTAAAATACAACCTTTGATATCTTGTAGGATTTTTATTTTGTTTCTTTTCCGTGTTTCCAGGTATTGCTCGTAAAAATCCACGAACACCTTTGTCAGATCTTCAAGGTGCCAACGTCCTGAATGAAAAGGCCAGCAGGTGAGGACAAGACAAAATGTGGGAAACTGAAATTTACTCCATTATGAAATGGCTGCAGCAGATTTAAACAAAAAAACGACTAATTGTCCTAATCCTGCTGAAGAGTCGGTGTCTTCACTGCGTTCTCTGTCCCCTGTCCTGGAGTAGGGATGGATACGGCGTTGGATGCAACGGTCGCAGCTCCAGATCGGGTCGTGTCTCTTCGTCAGGAAGCCCAGCCTTGGAGGAAGACGGGATCTTCCTCAACTCGGCCAACAGCAAGCTCCTGGAGAGAGCTCAGGGTATCCTACTGTGAGTAACACACACCGACACAAGGAGGAAAACCTGCTCTTTAAAACAAAAATATGCTTTTTATAAATTGTGTTGTTTATATTTGCTCTGTTTTTATAGGAGAAACAAAAACTGCAAAAGTAAACCATCCCTTCCCAAGGTTAGACACAAATCTGCTGCAGTGCACAGCATTTGAATCCACACTGCCAGAAAGATACGGCAGTGATGTAAATACAATGTTACTTAAGTTTTATGTGTTTACTGAGCAGCACTTGTTGGACGTGAAGTCTCTGCGCTACCTGAGCAGCGTGACACTTCACGACCGCATCACCAAGTCCCTGCTTCACCTGCACAAGAAGAAGAAGCCGCCCAGCATCAGTGCTCAGTTCCAGGTCGGTGCTGCTCCCTGCTGGCAGAACTGGTGAATTACAGAAAGTCCATCTGCCGCCGACAACGTTGTGGTTTGTGTGTGTGCAGGCTTCGCTCAATAAGCTGATGGAGACTCTGGATCAGTCCGAGCCGTACTTCGTCAAGTGCATTCGCTCCAACGCTGAGAAGGTAGTTCCACGAGTGGAAGCGGCTTCTTTTAGTGAGCACCTGCTGATCTGTTTGCCGTTTTTCTCCCTCGTTGTGTCGTTCAGCTGCCGCTCCGTTTCAATGACAGTCTGGTGCTCAGACAGCTGAGGTACACGGGGATGCTGGAAACCGTCCGGATCCGACAGTCCGGATACAGCATCAAGTACACATTTCAGGTGAATCCCATGTTTTTGACTTCATTACTACAACGTTCAAGTACTAGTGATTGTTTTCATTCGGATTATTTCCATTTCAATTCATTGCTGTTCATATAAATCTGTGTCTCATGTAGACATTATAGACAACTAATAAACCAAATGTAAATATTCCAATTTAATTAGAATATCATTAGTAACTACTGTGGGATAAACCGTATGAGCCACAAAGACGCGGAAGAGTTTGAAGCCATTTTAAAAAGAGAGGCGACGATCAGCTAACAGCTGTGGTTCACACGGAGGAAGACTTTGAAGCACTGAGAAGGTCAGAAGGAGTGTGTGTTTTTGTGGATCTACAGAAAGCATATGGAGATAAGGAGCCAAGAGGCGGAACTGTTGTACGTTGAAGAAGTCCGGTATGCGAGGGTAGTTCAGGACGTGTCGGTAGACCTGCTCAATTTATTTAACAAACACCTAGATCAGGGGTGCCCAATACGTCCATCACCTTGTTGATCACAAAGGCATTATGGGTAGCTCGCATGGCATTAAAAAATATATTCATCTATGAAATCTGTCTCTTGATTGACAGACAGTGCAGCCAGTCTGAAGCCCCGTTTACACGACGTGAAGCATTCGTTCATTTACAGACAACAGCCTCGTTCTCTCTGAAACTGAAGGTTTCTGAATCCAGGTCTCAGAGCGCAGATTTTCAGGGGAACCCACCCCCCACGGAGGAGTGAAATGCTCCAAGTGTGAAGTCGCGCATGCACACTCCAGGCGGCTGCAGTCCAAAGTTTTTCTGCACTAACAACAGTTATAATAAACGGCAGAGAGCAGAGTTTTTGTGACTGATGGACCCCAAGGATGCTGAATATGAAACTGCCAGAGGGCAGCAGAAGATGGAGAACACAGAAAGTTCAAGGGTTGAGTGGAGGATATGCAGTTAGTGTGCAGAGGATGCTGCCGTAGGGTGAGATCGTGTGACCCTGAAGGGAGCAGTCAAAGAAAGATTTATATTGAAAAGCATCCTCTCTGTACTTTGCACACAAAACAGTTGTACTTGAACCGTCACCTGAAAACGTTTTGTCTCCTCCTTTCAGCACTTTGTGCGTCACTTCTATGTGCTGGTGCCACGGGGCATAAGCTCAACAAAGTCTGGTATCAGAGAGTTTTTCCGACGGATCCACCTGCCTCCTGCAGGATATCAAGTGGGCAACACAATGGTACGTACTCTGCAAACCAGACCTTTTTTTTTTTTTTGCTGTAACATCATTCTTGATTCTTTGGCAGCTACGTTTTCTGTTGGACTTCAGTCTCGAGCTCCGTTTCTTTGTGATGCAGGTGTTCCTGCGGGAGGCGGAGCGTCAGCGTCTGCAGACACTCCTCCACCAGGAAGTACTGCGGAGAATTGTCACGCTGCAGCGGCGCTTCAGAGCCGTTCTGGAGCGGAGGCACTTCGTCAGCATGCGACGAGCTGCCTGCATCATCCAGGTAAGAATTATCTTGCTCCTTAGTCCCTTTTCATGACCGCTCTACAGATGAAAGAACATCGCAAATTCAGATTTCTATCCACCTAACTTTGCAAGAGGAGCCTCGAAAGTCCATTAAGGTCTTTGTCTCAACGAATCCAACATTCAGTCATAAATATACAATGAAGCGAGTTCTCTATATATAGTCTGTCGGTTAAAACGATGAGGACAAATACTCTCAGAGCAGACTTTACTTATTAGTCTGGGTATTATTCCACTCTGTGCAATGAATAAACTATAAGCACGTTGGATTTTCTGTTCTTTGACTAAAATAGTTGGTTTCAGTACAACATTTAGTTGCTATGGGCAGTTTACAATAAATGTGTGACAGCTTGTGAAGCATTCACTCTATTCCCATCCACTTTTCCTCTGTACGTTTTTCTGTATCTTTCTCGTTCCACAGTTTTTGTTCTATTTCAACAAATCGTAAATCAAAACGTTCAGCTCGTTCATGAGAAGGGTGCAAGGACTTCTGGTTTAGGTGCAACTTTAGCTTTTTGAAATATTTAGCCTTTTCTGCCTTTTTTTTTTTTTTTTTTTTCTAAAAGAAAATTAATTGAGCTCATTTCACATTATTCAAATCTTCAGATCTGTTTACAACCTTTTACTGCTCCTTTCACATTCTGTTCTGCTTCAGCTTCTTTCAGCTTCCTTCTGCAAATTTACAATTTTCAGCTACTTTCAGCTGTTGTTTCAGCTGTTTGGTGCTTCTTTCAGATTCATTTAGCTAATTTCAGCTTGTTATGCTCCTTTCAGCTCATTTCTGCAAGTTTTGGCATTTTCTGCTATTTCAGCTACTATTTTGCGGTTTTTATGCTAATTTTAGCTTTTTCAACTAATTCCACATTTTTTTGCATTAGTTTCAACTTTTTTCAGCCTAATTCAGCAAAAATGTGCTCTCTCCACTTCCTTCTGGTAATTTAAGATAAGATAAGATAGAACTTTATTGTTCCTGAAGGAAATTGTTGTGCTCTGAAATTTAAGCTTTTTTCTGCTTTTTTAAACTCTTTTTCAGCTGTTTTTTTTTTTTTTGTTAATTTCAGCTTTTTTTCAGATAATTTCCACATTTTGTCCACATTTGTTCTTCTTTCAGCTTAATATGGTAAACGTGCTCTCTCCACTTCCATATGGTAATTTAAGCTTGTTCTACCTTTTCAGCTAACTTTCTTGCATTTCTTAGCTAACTGCAGCTGTTTGCAGATAAATGCAAATTTTTTGTGTTAATTTCTGCAACTTTGAGCCTAATTAACTTCTGTCTACCAATTTCAGCTTGTTATGCTTTTTTCAGCTTATTTCTGCAAGTTTCAGCTTTTTCTGCTATTTCAGCTACTATTTAGCTGTTTTGTGCTAATTGTAGCTTTTTCAGCTAATTCCACATTTTTTAGCTCATTTCAGCTCCTTCCACTTCCTTCTGGTATTTTAAGCTTATTTCTACCTATTCAGCTACTTTTCAGCTATTTTTAGCTAATTTCAGCTTTTTAGCTAATTTCCTATTTTTTCTGCTCTTTTTGCTTATTTAAACATAATTCAGCAAGTATGTGTTCTTTCTGCTTTCTTCTGCTAATTTAGGCTTGTTCTTCCTTTTCAACTATATTTCAGCAACTTTTAGCTAATTTCAGCTGTTTTTCAGCAAGTTCTTCAGCAATAAGCATTTACAGTGCTTTTTCACAGAAAATACAATTTCCCTAGTTTATTTATTTATTTATTGTATTAAATCATTATCTTCATATCGAGGCACCTACTGAAACACGAGTCTTGCGTACCATTACATCTCCAGTTCAAACAGGAGCTCTTCAGCTAATCGAGTAGCCCTCAACTCTTAATAAAAATAAATGTAATAAAATGAATCTTTGTTTGAAAAGAGGAAAATCTGGTGCTTGAAAGGGTTCAGAAGAATACAATGACTGACGATACGACAAGCCGCATACAGGTGTAAAATATACGCTAGCTAGAGATCAAAACCTGAAACCTAATAAAAATATATTCTAATTATTGTTACATCATTGAAATGCTCCATTTGCCTGACTTGCAGACAAATGCTTTGACTTACAAAAAGTTCTGATTCTATGAATCTGTTGCCTAAAATAAACGATATATTACTGCAGGATTATTAACACAGATTGCCCACTCTTGTGTAAATTAGCTTTTGTCTGTTTCTGTCACTGCATTAGCTAAGCACATCTGTTTGTCCCATCTTTGCAGCGCTGGTGGAGATTCTGCCTCCTCAAACAGTCCAGTATTGATTTGGGTGTAGAGGAGGCGGCGGCTGTGTGTCTGCAGGCAGCGTGGCGAGGTTACAGGGAGCGCAGGAAGTTTCTGCATTGGCGAGCCTCCGCCATCATCATCCAGAGGAGCTGGAGGATCTGCTGCCACCGCCGCAGGTCTCTGGCCGTTACGACCATCCAGACGGCCTGGAGAGGGTTCAGAGAGAGGAGCCGGTTCTGCACGGCACGCAGCGCAGTCGCACAGCTACAGGCGGTCAGCCGAGGATACCTGGCTCGACTCAGGTGAGAGAAACATTGAACGTGAAGAGATGATGAGGGATTTATTTAAAAAAATGTAACTGCATACTTCACTTAAAATGTTTAGTAAAGCTGAGTCAAATACTTGAAATAATAACAGAAGTCATCTCTGTTCGTTGAGAAGCCTGATCGCTACAGGGTGATTGAGTTCAGTCTGTTCGTCCTACATCTGGGCAGCAACCTGAACTCACCATGGAGCGGTGATCAGGATCTGCCAGAATCAGCCTGGCCTTGTTCACTGACCTCGCCTTGTGTAGGTCAGGGAGGTTCTGTAGAGCCTTGCCAGCAGTTCTGCTGCACATCTTGACGATCCCCAAGAGTTTGTCCCGGTTAATTTTACATGTCAAAAGTCCAAACCACCAGATGAAGGTGAAAGTTAAAAGAGACTCAATAGAACATTCTCATAAAAGTAGAATCAACATTAAAACCACAGAGCTTCTGATAAAAATACATTCTCTGGTGGGCCTTCTTACAAAGTGACATCACGTGGGGGTCAAAGGTCAGTTTGTCATCCAGAACAGTTCTTAGATATTTATTTTGATGCGCCACCTCGGCAGCTTCACTGTTAGTGAGCACAGGAGCAGCAACTGAAGAGTCTTCTCAAGTTCAAGGTTATTTATTGTCATTCACACCACATGTGGTACATGAGGTGGAACGAAATTGTGTACACAGGGTCCCAGTTGCATCCAACAAAAGTATCAATTGTAAAAAGAAAAACAGCAATAAGATCTCTAAGAACCGAGAAATACATTAAACGCTTAACAGTGCAAAACAATACACCAAACAGCAGCACGAACATGAGTCTGTGTGAGCAGATGAGTATGAATGATCACAGCAGCATGAGATCAGCAGCATGAGATCAGCAGCACATATCAACAATCAAGTGGCATTACAGGGATTTTTTTCCCACAGTGATAATCCTGATTAGGGATTTATGAGTCTAACAGCTTCAGGGTAGAAGCTGTTCCTCAGTCTAGTGGACTCACATGATTCAGTGAAGTCCTCGACCACAGGCCTGGGTCATCACTGCATGGATGGACATGAAATAAACTTATCATTTCAGTCGTGTTCATTACGGTGATAAAATTGTACAGAGATTACTTGGGCGACTGGCTGAGAGGTTAGAGCAGTCGTCCTCCGATGCAAGAGTGGGGGGTTCAAATCCAACAGCAGTCACATGCCTAAGTGTCCCTGGGCAAGACACTGAACCCCACGTTGCCTCCGATGTGTGTCCCATCGGTGTATGAATGTGATAAAGCTCTGATTAGTCTCTTTAGAACTATTTGTGCAATTATCTTTGTACAGATCTACTATAGAGCTGTATGAATGGGTAAATGAGGCACAGATTGTTGTAAAGAGCTTTGAGTGTCTTGATAAGATAGAAAGGAGTTATATAAGTACAGTCCATTTACCATTTGCCCCCAAGTGGTCAAAAGGTTTTTGCGACTTATCCTACAGTTTTGTGTGAACTGAAGTGAAGGTTGCTGATGTTTTGTTTTTTTCTTCCAAACTCTGTTTAGATATAAACACTTACAGGAGCAGCATGAGAGACTCAACAGACAGTCTAGTCTATTAACCAAGATGGCTGCTGGGGCTTTGGAGGACTTTGCCTCATCAGTACAGGACAATCATGTTGACATCAAGCAATCCGAAGAATATTTGGACGCTACCAAGACCGTGAAAGAAGAGGACTCTGAGAGAAGTCGATGCATAGACGAGAATAGTCAAAAGAACCGATCAAAGCGAGAGCGGGGACGCATGAGAGAACTGGAACAGGCTCAGTTCAGCTTGGAGCTCCTCAAAGTTCGCACCACCAGCATGGGGGGTTCTCATCCAGAAGACGTGGTCACAAACAGCAGCACATGTCATATGGATGATGACCTCAGACATTCCCAGCGGGGTTCACCGGAGAGCCACGGGAGTTTTGAGATGCTTAGCATGGAAGAAATGGAGACCGACGGTTCTGGGGGATTTGGGTTCCAGTCGATTGAATCTCAAGAACCAGCCCAAACTTTGAGTGTCCTCAGAGATTCAAACCATAATGAAAAGCCAATGATGGAGCTGTCAAATAAGGTTGAAGAAGCAAGGGCAACATTTTATATTCCCTCTGACCAAAGTCCAATTCATAAACCAAAACATGAAAGTCCTGGCAAATCTTACAGAGATAGAAAGGAGTCAGCGTCTCTAAGGCCGGTGGTTGTGTTGATTAGTATGAAGAAGGAGAGTCCTGTGGATGAGGGAGAGCTGCTGGCAGCTCGAACCCTTGAAGCAGCTTCTCAAGTAGGCGAAACCAGCTCCCAAATCACCCCTATAGGAGGCCTGGAGATAGCATCCTACAGGGAGCAACCTATCCAGGCAAAAAGAGATGTGCTTAGGATGGACAAGTCTTCCAAGCTCCCCACTTCAACCCTTCATGGACAGAGCCCAGAGTCACCAGGACTAAGCTCCTCAAAGGAGGAAGTCAAAAACATCCTGCAGCCCAAGACTAGTGTTCCCACTGTTCTGCCAAGTCAGCGTGAGATGAAGAAGACCCGACCTACACAGGAGGTTCCCAACCAGGTGCTGGACACCAAACCCCCAAAAGCCCAGAAGAAGAGCTCTGCCCAGTCTGTGACTGTGAACATGGTGGAGAAATCACCCAACTCTGTGTTCTCTGCACCAAGACGCAAGCTGCCATTCTCCAAGTAAGTAAGAGTTGCACAGATGGAAAGTTCTACTTGTAGGTCCCCTGACCATCCCATTCCAGCAACAACTATAGATCGAACTGTAGCTTTGGCTTTTTGTGGAATATTAAGATCGATCGTTTGAGGTAATTAGTTTTGAAAGTAAATTTGAGGCCGTTTGCACAACCGTTTTAAATGTGGTTGTGTTTTGCAGATCAGATAAGGATTTGGTGAATCAGGAGAGATCTCTCTCGCTTTCCATGTACAGAGATGATTCCAAATCTGCTGGATCCAGAAACAGAGAGGTAAGACGCCAAACGTGAACACGGATCACCTTCTTCACTTACGTCGTGCTTGTCACTTGCACTTTTTGGTTTCCTCTGAAAGACACATCCAGCTTCACTTGAATGTTGTAGAAATTAGATTTTTTTAAATCCTTAGTTTTAGTGCCCACATTGAATTTGTCCACACAAGCATGCACTCACAAACAGCTGATCTGTTCATGTGGTTACCTGGAAGCAGGTGGGCCGGCCCGGCCCCAAAAAGAAAGCTCGAATGTCCCGGACGCGCTCCGACTTCCTCACCCGCTGTAACTCTGAGGGCGCCACCCAGTCGGATGACGACGACGAGTACTACATCCCTGCACACTCCAGCACGCTGCCCCCCTTCTTGTCTCCCCCACGAGCCCTCCTCGAGGCTGACTGTCACAGTGACTCTGAGATGGTAAAATACCAGATCTCCGGAGGTTCCTTGACCTCTGAATGAGTTTTCTGTCCACTTTGTCCCTCCCCCACCTCCACCCTTTTTTCCTGGTGGATATGGCCACATGCAGCAGGCGGAGGACCTTTTTAACACTGCTAACCACAGTTTCACTCGTACTTTTGAACCAAAAGAGATGTTTCTCCACTAATATGTTTATTGTGTACACATTAACTTTTCAAGCTCTGGTAAGAGTTGGTGAAATCTCAGATTTGTTTAATTGCGGTTTTGCAGAGAACATATGAACAGTTTTTATCTTACCTGCTGTAGATGGCTCTTTGGACAACCTCAGTGTAGAGAAATAGTTCAGATCTGTTCAGATTGAAGAACTAACAAATGGAGGCTTGTTGCCATGTTAAAACAACTTTAGTCTTAAAAATGTTGAAGCAGTTTGTGCTATCTGTGCTATTTTATAAACCTTTACATAGTTGACAAGTTAATAATGATAATACATTTTTATTGGAAAGCATCTTTCTTGACAATCAAGGACACTGGACAGTAAAATCCGATGTAAAATGCAGTATAAAAAACTAAAGAACAAAAAAAATAAAAATAACATAAACGTCATGACATGAATACATGTACTACGAGAAGGAGGTTAGGGTGAGTATGTCTGTTCAAAGAGAAGAGTTTGGATGCATGGAGAGGTTTTGATGTCCATGGCGAGATAGTTCCAGAGGTGGGGTGTTGAGCGACTGGATGCTTTTGAGCCCATAGTGTCAGACGAGCAGGCGGTTGGGTGGAGGAGGACAAACTGAGTGTGCAAGTCTGTGTGTTGCTATGGTCTTCTGTGAAATACTGAGGGGTGAGATTGTTCAGGGCTTTAAGGTGAGAAGCAGGATTTTGTATGAAATGCTATATTTGACTGGGAGCCAGTGAAGATGATACAGGACACGAGTTGTATGACTGGTGGAAGGGGTTCTGGAGCTGATGCAAGCAGCAGAGATTTGGACCAGTTTGAGTTTATGGATGGATTTTGTGGGTAAACCAAAAAGAAGGGACTTACAGTAATCTAGGTGGGATGTGGCCAGTGAACCATAATGGCAGTACTGCTGGGTGAGAGGGATGAACGGAGGCAGGCGATGTTACGGATGTGAAAGTCAGGTAAACGAGTGATATTACAGTAACAGCAAAGGGTTGTCTAGGATGACACCCAGACTCTTAATCTGGGGTGGAGGAGGAAACTGAGGTGTTGTCTGTGAGAATGGAAAAGTTGCTGGTTTTTGCAAGGATGGATTTAGTGCCAATGAGAAGAAGTTCTGTTTTGTTACTGTTCAGTTTGAGGAAGTTGCTGGTGAACCAGTATCTGATTTCATGTAGACAGTCAGAGAGTGGGGGGGTGGGAGGGTGGAGGTGGGGCTAGTGGACCGATAGAGCCGAGTGTCATCTCCGTAACCGTGGAATTGGACTTTGTTTTCGGAAGATGTTGCCAAACAAAAGGAGGTAGATGATTAAAAGGAGAGGGCCAAGGATAGAACCTTGTGGAACATCAGAACAGAGAGAGGATGGATGAGAGGTAAATTATTTTACTTAAACAAATTGTATACAGTTAGAAAGATACAAAATAAAGCAGTTAAGCGGTGTGTCTGAAATACCAGTATGTGAAATTTGTCATTATGCAGTTATTTACACAGACCTGTTTTTTGGATGTGCAAATAGCAGTAGCAACTGGCTGTAGCACTTCTAGTGCAGCATGGGGCCCTTTGTGCTGGAACATTTTATAGATTGAAGTTGTTTTATTATGGTAGCAATACACTTTCCACAACTGAGGTTGTTCAAAGAGCTATCCACAACAGGTAAGATATTAGCTGCTCCTAACCTTCCCTCAGAACCTCACTTTAAAAGATCTGAACTGTCACTTGAAGACCATGCACACAGACGGTTCATGGTTCTGCACGTTGCTTTGGTGGCTGCACAGCTGCAGACTCATCTCACCTCTGATACTTTTTTTAAGGAGATCACCAACATTTGGGAGTTTAATCACCTGGTTTCCTTCAACTTGGCATGTTCTATGTTGGGAAATTATTTATCTCAGTTTTCTGTTCGTTTTATTTTTACCATTTTAATAGCCCAGACCGTAAAATGGAAAAGAGCAACAATTTGTAAAAGGCACCAGCAGTTGTTAAAGTTTAAGGTTGCTTTAAATTATGTTCTCTGGTGTTTAGCATGACACATCATAAATTAAGTTTCTAATCATTTTAAACAATTTTTAAAAAGTATCCATGTTTTTAGAAAATAAATCTAATCACTTCTTCTAAATATATATATATATATATAAGTACACTTAAAGTTATTTGCAAAGTGCAAACATTTTGTTGGGTAAGCTAAACATATTTATTACTGTTGTAAATTACCTGTACATGTAATTTACTACATGCAAATATTACAGCAAGCCTTAAATTAACAAGAGAAATTGCATTTCTTGTTAAAATGCAGTGTGAATGCTTATTGCTGAAGAACTTGCTGGAAAAACAGCTGAAATTAGCTCAAAACATGCTGAAATATAGCTGAAATGGAAAAACAAGCCCAAGTTAGCAGAATAAAGCAAAGAATACATATTTGTTGAATTAGTTTTAAATAAGCAGAAACAAGCCCAAAAATTAGGAAATTAGCTAAAAAGCTGAAATTACCTAAAAATAACTGAAAAGTAATTGAAAAGGCAGAAAGAAGCTTAAACTACCAGAAGGAAATAGGAGATGAAATGAGCTAAAAAAAAAAGTGGAATTAGCTGAAAAAGCAAAAATTATCATGAAAACAGCTAAATGGTAACTGAAATAACAGAAAAAGTTGAAACTAGCAGAAATATGCTGAAGGAGCATAGCAAACTGAAATTAGTAGAAAGAAGTTAATTGGGCTGAAAGTAGCAGAAATTACCTCAATTTTTTTAAATTTATCTGCAAACAGCCGCAATTAGCTAATAAATGCAAAAAAGTTAGCTGAAAAGGCAAAACAGGCTTAAATAATCTGAAGGAAGTGGAGAGAGCACATTTTTACCATATTAAGCTGGAAGAAAAAGAACTGCACAAAAAAGTGGAAATTATCTGAAAAAAGCTTAAATTAACAAAAAACAGCTGAAAAGAAGCTAAAAAAAAAGGCAGAAAGAAGTTTAAATTTCAGAGCACAATTTCCTCCAGGATCAATAAAGTTCTATCTTATCTTAAATTACCAAAAGGAAGTGGAGAGAGCACATTTTTTGCTGAATTAGGCAGAAAAACTTTGAAATTAGTGCAAAAAATGTGGAATTAATTGAAAAAGCTAAAATTAGCATAAAAACAGCAAAATAGTAGCTGAAATAACAGAAAATGCCAAAACTTGCAGAAATAAGCTGAAAGGAGCGTAATGAGCTGAAATTGCCAGAAAGAAGTTAAAGAAGCAGAAAACAGCTGAAATTAGATGAAAATAGCTGAAAAATGTTTTTGTCCTGAAAGAGCTCAACGTTTTGATTTATGATTTGTTGACCTAACACAAAAATTGTGGAACAAGAAAGATGCTGAAACGTGTGCAGAAGAAAAATGGATCATAATGGTGTGAATGCTTCATAAACGTTCACACCATTAGTTGCTATAATCCTCAGCAAAATAACTTCTTGCCTTTTTTGACCGATACAGAAAACAAAACATAGTGTGACGGTGAAGTTGAAGGAAAACTGAAAAGACTCGATGTCGGAGAGCTTTTTTCTTCACAGCAGTGACTCCTGCTTGGTTTAAGAGGTCGTAGTTATAGACGTTGTCCTCTCATGTGGACGTCAGCACGTGTTGCACTGCATGCCAACCACCTCTGCATGCTGAAATGAATGAAACCTGGAGCAAAGTACCTCCTCAACAACGTCTTCTGTCCTAACAGAATCAAAGCTTAAAGTTTGTCCGTTAAACTCAATATTTGCATAGTTCACCATAAGACTTGGGATTTAATGTTTGTGTTGTTAGTTACTTCCTTCATCTTCTGTAACACTGTAACTCATGAGTTTCTGCTCTCTGTCTGGTGTTTTTGAGCAGATGCTCCTCAGTTGTCTTTGTAGAGGAACCAGTCTGTGTTGAAACAGGAAGTTGTGCTCCTGAAGAGTCTCAGTAAACTTAGTCCACATCCTGGACAAATCTCATCTGTCAGATGCAAGCTGTGTGCTCTTCATCACTCTCCTCTCCTCTGCTCTGCAGTCGTCTCATAAAGACCAGAAGAAGATTCACAAGACCATGTCGTCTGGGGACCTGGGCAAGGTAGAAGTCCTCAGGAAAACCTCTAGTCAGGACGGAAGGTAGACCCCCTGAACATCTCCGATTATATCACGGTAAAAGTTACATCACTTTCTGCAGTAATTTTATTTTTTTTTAAAGCAGGATGAGAGGAAAGATGCGATTCTGGAGTAAGACGAGACACAGCGAGAAAAAACTGTCAAGAGAAAAACAGGCCAGCAGGAGTGAAGGTGAGGAGGTGCACAAGAAACGAGGAGTAACGTGAAAAGTCTTCAAGATACGTCCATCCATTATCTTTACTCGCTTCTTCTTTTTTGGGTCACTGGTGCCCACATCCAGCCATCACTGTACGAGAGGCAGGGGACACCCTGGACAGGTCTCCAGTCCATCACAGGGACACATAGAGACAAATGAGACAACCATTCACTCTCTCACTCACAATTTAGAGTTACCAACCAGCCTAACATGCATGTTTTTGGTCTGTGGGAAGAAACCCAACCATGCACGGAGGGAAAATTCAAACTCCACCCAGAAAGGTCTCGGGCTCGGATTTGAACCAGCGACCTTTTCGCTGAGAGGCAACAGCTCTACCAACTGAGCCACCGTGCCGCTGTCTTCAAGATCATTTATGTAAAAAACTCAATAAACTCAGGCGATGCTCTGTTTTAGAGAATTAAAAATATAAAGGTGCTCGGCAAGAAAAACGCCGCTTTGCTTTAAATTAAACACATTTTTGTTTTGTTTGGTCAACTCTGAGTTAATTACCCTTTTTTTTTTTTTGTCTCTCAGGAAGTCTGTCTCCTCCACACAGTCCAGATATGGACGTGTCTTCTTGTAGAGGAGGAGTCCGGGACACCAAAGAGAACAAGGAGCAGCGGAGGCGCAGTTTGAAGATCAGCAGCATCGCTCTGGAACCCTCCATGTGGCAGAACGACTCGCTGCACATCCTCACCTCAGCCAGCGACTACCGCAGCATGAACGACTTCCTCATGAAGAAGGTCGACCTGAGCTCACTCGTGTTTCATTTCATCTGGGGGCTTTCACAAAATCTAACGTTTTTAATTATCTCCCTTTATAAGTTGACGCTGCTCTGATTCAGATTTCAATTTTGTAATAAATTTGAACATTTTCTGCAGATATCTGACCTGGATTCTGAAGATAGCAAGAAGGACACCATGGTGGACGTCGTCTTCAAGAAGGCACTGAAGGAGTTCAGGATCAACATCTTCAACTCATACTCCACTGCCCTGGCTGTGAGTCCTTAACTCTTGATTGAAAACCAAGTAAAGCATCTCTCATTAATGTATGTTTGAATAAATGTACTTATTTTTTGATCCCACCAGATGGACGATGGGAAGCGTATACGTTACAAAGACCTGTACGCGCTGTTCGAGCACATCCTGGAGAAGACCATGCGTCTGGAGCAAAGAGACTGGAGCGAGTCGCCTGTGAAGGTGTGGGTCAACACCTTCAAGGTCTTCCTGGATGAGTTCATGACGGAGTACAAGTCCATGGAGGGAACCACCGGCAGGGTGAGAACGTTAAAATGGGATGGATTCATTCAAAGATAAAGTGGGAAATCTAGAGGCTCCTGTGGCTTCATTACTTACATGTATGATTTTGAAAATGTTCAATTTATAATTCAAAAAATAAAAACACTATTTATTTATTAGAGACGTGCTAAATACACTTGGTCATTTATTTGTTTCTCTCTCCTTTCAGGCTCCTAAACGTGAGCGCAAGAAATCGAGGAAGAAGGAAACTGATATTGTGAGTTTAAAATCTTGCACCAATGAAATAGACTTGCTGACAAAAAAGTTAGGCATCCAGAAGAAATGTTCTGATTTGTACGTGATTTGGTCCACATGACCAGACCAGAGATGGGTTTGGAAATTATTTGAACTGTAAGAGTTTTCTAATCTAAAATAAGCACCTGAGAGCAGTTGACGGTCAAAACAGCAGGTTAGCAAACGTTGCAGGCACATCAGACAGTAGTACCAGCACCTCATGGGCTTTGATAGGGATCGCACGGTTAGTTCATACGAGGCCAGATGGTTGTGCTTTTATTAATCTAGTTGTTCTAATTGTTTCTTCTTTGTTTTTAACCTCTGTTTGATTTATGTTTTTTACCCAATGCCCTCTGCTCGTTTGTTTTGTTGTTCAGCCCTTTGACCTTGTTGCTTTATTTAAAGTGCTTTATTAATGGTATGATATGGTATACTATGTTATTGTACGGTTTGATTTGATACAGTATGGCATGCTATTTTATGGTATGGTAATATATGATGTGTATGGTATGTATGGTATGTTATTTTTTCGTATGGTACGATATGGTATGGTACGGTATGGTAAAGTACATTATGGTATGGTATGTATGGTATGTTATTTTATGGTATGGTATGTATGGTATGTTATTTTATGGTATGGTACGGTATGGTATGGTACGGTATGGTATGGTACGGTATGGTACAGTACATTATGGTATGGTATGTTATTTTATGGTATGGTACGGTATGGCATGTATGGTACAGTACATTATGGTGTGGTACAGGAATGAGCAATATGGTTCAAATATAATATTGTGATATTTTAGAGGATTCTGACAATAACGATAAATTTCATGATGTAACAAAAAAAAACATAAATCGTAGTTATCCATTTGACAAAATTACATGTTGCTTTGCAGTCCCTGTGATGGACTTGCGACCTGTCCAGGGTGTACCTCGCCCCTCGCACAGTGATTGCTGAACATGGGCACCGGTGACCCCCGTGACCCAAAATGGAAGAAGCGGGTAAACGATAATGGATGGATGTTGCTTTGCAGTATTATATAAAAACAAAAACAACCGGGTTAATTTTACTGAAATTACTTTATTTAGTAAAGTATTCAGTCTCAAAGTATAAAAATAAAAATTATCCTTCTGTTATCTAGATTGAAAAAGTCTGCACAAAATATAGATCAACAAAATCTACCACAAAAACTAAAGTGCAGGTGCAGTTTCCCAAAATAACTAAATAAAATGAAGCTTAAGATCTGTTGAGCATAAATGTAGCATACAACAAAGTATATATGTTGCCTTTAAATGAGCTTTAAGTTCCTAAAGTTGACAAGGCATCCAGCTGACCCTGAAGCTTGTGATATTTCAGCTTCCTCTGTTCCTGCAGGAATGATTCATTTCTCTGATGCTCTGTCTTTGATCACCTGACTCTGTTCTTGGTCCATGGACTGTGGAATTCAAGAGACACAGCTGACCTGTGCGTGTTTGTACCAGCAGTTTAGAGCGGGGGGGACCCAGCCGAGCTGCGCCCGCACCGGCAGCCTAGAGTGGGGTGGGGGGAGAGAAAAAAGCCGAGCTGCGCTGGTGGGGGGTGAGGGAGAGACAGTTGAGCTGTCACTGTCTGTACCGCAGTTTAGAGCTGGATGGAGAAACGCAGCCGAGCCGTGTGTTGTTTATTTTTAGCATTGTAGCTAGCTAGTACTGTGCGCAGCTAATTAGTGTTACGCCAGTACCGACAAGTGGATGGGGTGGGGTTGCGCAATTCGGTTCGGTAGTTCGGCGCGCTCAGTTCTGTTCACGGGGTGGGACAAACACTGACGTATGTACTTATGTCATGAAATTAGCATATCATGATATAATTTTTTTCCCAGGCAAGCTTTTTTTACCGGTATTATTGTGAACGATACGATATGGCCCAGCCCTAGTATGGTATGATATGGTATGGTATGGTCTCTTACTGGTCTCTCTTGTAAATGAGTCCTCGAGGCTCAATGAGACTAACCTGCAAAAATAAAGGTTGAATGAATGGTATGGTATGGGGAGGTATGGTAAGGTATGGTGCAGTTGCCCAACGAGGGGCCTACACATGTTGCAGTGACCAGATGTTGGAACCAATGAGTATATGAAGGAACCCACACACATCTTGAAGGTTCCAGTCACTCAAGACAGACCACACCAAGGCAGGAATCACCAAATTACTTGCCAGACATTACAAAACCTCATGGTTTCTGCATCTTCCATTTGGACACTGGTATTAGACATTTTAATAACGTCCCATGTCATCCCACGCTATGTCTCGACAACTGACATCAGTCAGACTACCGGTCCACCATCTGGGCTGACGACAACTCCAGAGCAGAGGTGGGTAAATGTAAAGTGGCGCTGTAACCGAGAGACGTGGAATGATGAGCGGTGCGTACCATGTTCAGTGATGTATCTTGGTTCTGCAATACCACTTGTACAGAGATGTCAGGGTGATGGAAGGACACACTGACGTTATTCCTGCATCGTGGTGTGTGGACCATAGGGTGTAACTTCAGGTCACCTCTGGTAGTCTTTTAGGGACCCTGACAATACTGCCACATCAACGACCGCCTGCTTGTCTTACCTGTCCTGAGACAATGCCTTCAACAAGACATTTGTTCACACAATGTACATGTGTTTATGGGCTGACAACATCATGTTGAAGTCCTCCTGTGGTCAGCCAGCTCTTCAATCTTTCACTAATTATTCACAATCAGTTTGGGCATCAGTACCAACCCAGTACGAGCCTGCTGGGTCTTGTTTCAACAGCTGTATGCTGAGTTGCTGTAAGAGAGACTATAACATGTATGTATGTACTGTAACATGTATGACTCTGGTTTGCACAGAATCACTGCTTGCATTCAGGTCTGAAGCAATACCCTACACTTCTGACCTGGAACCAGCAGGGTGTCCATACTGCCAACTCAGTTCTTCACCTGATTTGATATAATCATTAGAAAACACGCGATCTCTTAACACATTCAGCTTCATCTCATTTCCTACACTCTGTCTGGGTGCGTAACGTTATTTAGTCAGTGAGTGCAGTTTGAGAAAGATGACTTTCATTCCTGTATTGAGCTACCTGGTGCCTCTGCTGCCCCCTGCAGGTGGAGGAACACAACGGTCACATCTTTAAGTCCACTCAGTACAGCATCCCGACTTACTGCGAGTTCTGCTCCTCCCTCATCTGGATGATGGACCGAGCCTGCGTCTGCAAATGTGAGCATTTGACCAAAGATTCACACAAACATGCATTAAGAAAGTGAATAACAACAAATACCTCAGGTGTTTTTTATTATTTATATTACAAGCTGTGAAGAAATGCATGGGGAAGCTTGTTCAGGAACATTTTCTTCTTTGTTTTTGCTGTTCAGCCTAAAAGCAAGTTGTAAAAATCTACAGGATGCCTGATTTTTTTTTTTTTTTTTAACAATCTCACACAAATAAACACACCACCTGCTAATGTTGCTAATGTTCTCCTAACTCATTTACCACTCGTGTCTGTGTGTACTTTCTATTTCCACCCTCATAGCACATTACACCCCCTCCAACTTCCCCCCCACACACTCATCCCCACCGAACTAAAACACTTTCCATGTGTATCTAAGTGTCAGCAAAATTCAATCAAAGCTCCCTCTCCCTTCATAAATCTGCCTTCTATCTAGTTAGAAAGCTTTTTTTTTTTGCTGTGGCTCAGAGAGCAGACTCTCTGCTCATCTCGACTCTTACCAGAGGGTTTGGTTTCTGCGCATCGGTTGGGAGAAGCTTGTTGCGACGCAGCGCGGTCTGATCGCGTTGTGTTTGTCTGCAGTGTGTCGCTTCGCCTGCCACAGGAAGTGCTGCTCCAAGATGACGACGAAGTGCAGTAAAAAGGTAGGCTGTGTTTCGGACCTGAGATTTCTGGTATTCCTCTAGGAGCTTGACTAGGACAAAAACATTTTAATTCAATTTTAATCTCTTTTGACATGTGATTATTTCCTATTCCACAAGAAGTGGGCACTCGTGTTGTCCATGTTTGTTTGTTTTTTGTTGTCTGTCTGTTAGCAAAATATCTCATGAACTCCTAGACAGATTTTAATGAAGCTGTTCAGATGTGAACATCTATAACTGATTTTTTTTTTGTGTGTTAATGTGATTTAAGATGGCTGCTACAGCTAATCAAATGTAACCAGCACACAAACGGCTAACTAGGTTGATTTTACAAATATGGAGCTTAAAGCTTTTGTAGCTGAAAGTCATCCCTAACGTGTCCTTCTGGTCATGTCTTCGGGTCGGACTTTGCCAATTGGAGTCAACTTTGTCTGTTAGCAAAATATGTAATTAAAATCATTAAAATCCTCTGGATTGATTTTAATGAAACTTTCTGGAAATCAGTAATGGACGTGCATCTACAACTCTTTCATTACCGTATTTTCCGCCGTACACGTTGCACCACCCTACAAGTCGCGTCAGTCCAAATATGTCTAATAAATTACAAAAGTCTGTAAATGCGTCGCTTCGCCGTATATGTCGCATCTGTTATGCGTCAGGTTTGTTACGCATCACCGCTGACAGCCTGGAAATGTGGGGCGGTGTTGTGCCAAAAATCGATTGGCTGCCAAATGGTGGCCGCGAGAGCGTGCACGGGAGGACTTTAACAAGACTTTCACAAGATTACCGTATTTTCCAGCATATACAGTAAGTCGCAGTTTTTTGCAAAAATTTGTCAGTCCTGCGACTTACACGCACGCTGAAGCGACTTATATGCGTGTTGTTTTTTTTCCATATTCATAACGCAGTTTTTGACTGACGCTTTAAATTTCGAAGAACTGCAACAGCGAGTCCTCCCATGCGTGCGAGCGAGCGAGCTTCACTCAGCAGGTGGAGGAACGCTGGAGAGATAGCGGCTCCGGCTACGATCCATCCATCCATGGATGGTGAAATGAAGCTGTTTTGACCATTAGTGAATTTATTAAGGAAAAGTTAAACTGAGACAGACCTTTGCTATAATGTCGAGCAAACAATTAATTGTTTTTAAGAGTTAATCTTGTTAAATTTCAAAGAACTGCAACAGCGAGTCCTCCCGTGCACGCTCACTTCACTCAGCTAGCGCAGGCGAAGGAACACTGGAGAGCTTGTACTTTTCAGTTTCAAAGGTTTTTTACCCTGAAAGTCACTTCTGAATTGAATGAAACTTAAAAGTAACAGAGTTTTATTTTTGTTTTGTGTGAAACCTCGTTGAAGAGGCTCCTTCCTGTCTGGGCTTACATGATGGGATTTCCCCAGCATTGATTTTTTTTGGAGCGTCAAGATTTTTTATTGTTTTGTTTTTGTTTTTTATTGATCACATCTACATTTCAGGAAGCCTCTTAGTTTCAGACAGGTCACAGAGATAGTTTTTAGATAGAGATTTTCAGCAGTAGTTTTGTTTTTTTCTGATCCGTTTGTGTTTCCAGTCCTTAAACTGATCATAACCACTCCGATCCAGTAACCAACAAGGAACTGATTTAGTTCTTTACACTTTGGAAAATGACGACCTGTAAGTTTTTCCAGGTCGTCATCCTTTGCTAAACATGTGAGCATGTTTATCAAACGTGCGTTTGTGTAAACCGTTTGTTGTGGATGCTGTAGTTTTGTGTATTAAAAGTTTTTTAATAGATGGAAATTGAGGGTGAAGTAATTTGTTTTGGGCTTAATGTAAAAGTGGACATGTTCAAAGCCGTATTGCTGCTGTTAGCATCACCGTTGTCCATAAAATCCACATGAACGCGTTGTGTTTCTGTTTTCAGTATGACCCGGAGCTGTCGTCTCGACAGTTCGGCGTGGAGTTGTCTCGTCTGACCAGTGAGGAGCGAACTGTACCTCAGCTGGTGGAGAAGCTCATCAACTACATCGAGATGCACGGCCTCTACACGGAGGGGATCTACAGGAAGTCGGGCTCCACCAATAAGATCAAAGAACTCCGACAGGGGCTGGACACAGGTGAGACTGAAGCAGAGCCAGCAGTCATAAAATATACACATGTTGTATTTTTTAAGAACTTATCCTGATGCTGCTCAATAATCCAGGCAGAAAAATCTAACAAAGTGAAGTCAGGTCCTCTGGATGGGTTCAAAAATAAATAAAAAATAATTAATTTAAATAAAAAAAAATCTGTTAATGTTTTGTCTTTTATCCAAAGGACTTCTTCAGTCTGAGAAGCTGCAACAAACTCAGTCTTATAAATATCACCTTCTCATGGTGGATCAACCAGTTTGTTGTTGACATCCAGAACTAGTTGTTCACATGATGGAGGAGGACCATCAAACGACCGATCACTAGTGCCCTGATGGCCGCTTGCTGTTCACAGAGGGCTGAATGATGCCAGGACTCTGCAGTTTGCACTCGTCTCCAGGCCAGAGGTCACTCTTTCAGGGATGAAGATGTTCACATCCTGGACAGAGAGGAACGATGGTTTGAGAGAGGAGTGAAGGAAAGGAGGCCATCTTTGTGTAAAGAAACCGTCCATCATTAAACAGGGGCGGAGCCTCCGTGTCCAACTGTCCCCCTCTTACAATGCTGTGATTGCTAGTATCACATTAGTATGACGTTCCAAACCAACGTTCCCATTATATATAAAATATATAATATAATATTTTATATGTATAGTTGTTCTTTCGTGCTGCTCCCTGCGTTAGGGGTCACCACAGTGAAGTCACACGAAGACTTGGAAATTGTTTTTACAATAGACGTCCTTCCTGACACAACCAGACACTGAGCTACCACAGCCCTCTGTGTGGAGCAGAGCTGCCATCTAGGGTGCCCAGGGAGCAGATGGTGGGGGTTACGGGCCCAGAATGGGACAAATGAGGGTGGAGGCAGGTGTGGGTGTTTCACCTATCCCACCCATATTTTTTGATGTTGTCGGTCCGACCTTTTGAAAATATTTACTCACGTATTTAATCCTTCAGTCTAAATGTAACCAGAATCTATTTCAACACATTCTTGCCAGACTATGGATTCATTCAGGGTTTAAAGTCCAAAATGATCTAATGTTGGAACAAAACTCCACAGCCGTCCACCCCGTCACTGTTTTGACTTCAGTCTAGAGAAAAGGAAACCGAGTTACTTGATGTGAACGTGTTCTTCTGCTGTAGATGTGAGCAGTGTCAATCTGGACGACTACAACATCCACGTCATTGCCAGCGTGCTCAAACAGTGGCTCCGGGACTTGCCCAGCCCGCTCATGACCTTTGAACTGTACGAGGAGTTTCTTAGAGCCATGGGTGAGCAGCTTTGATTCATGCTTCTACTGGTGCTCGGCAGCTTCTGATCATCCACCGACCTGAAGCCTGTGGTCTGATGCTGTGTGTGTGTTTTCTGTGTTCAGGCCAGCCGGACCAGCGGGAGATGATTCTAGGGGTGTACTCGGTGATCGACCAGCTCAGCAGGACACACCTCAGCACATTGGAGCGCCTCATCTTCCATCTGGTCAGGTCAGTGATGCGATAAAGATCAGATTTAGACAAAAAGCCTTCTAATTAAATTGGGATTTTAAAAGCCGAAAGCTGTTTGGGTCCTCTGAGCTTCATGTCTGCATGTCATCAAAAGCTTGTGGTCTAAATCAGGTGCATTCATATCCGCGCTGTTTGTGGACATTTGTAAGAGCCAGCTTTAGGATAAAAAAAGGATTTTCATGCGATACGTTGCAGAATCACCCTGCAGGAGGAGACGAACAGGATGTCTGCCAACGCCCTCGCTATCGTGTTCGCGCCGTGCGTCCTGCGGTGTCCGGACACCATCGACCCGCTGCAGAGCGTCCAGGACATCAGCAAAACCACAGCGTACGTCCAGTGACCCAACACGCCCCTTATAGCTTTACAATGCATGCTGTGTAAGGTTGACATCGTTTGTGTAGAATTTTAAGCAGTTCTTTTTGCTTATAAACATTTTTTATTAAGAAATCCTGTTTAAAGTTCTGATCATGTATTCTAGCTTTAAGAATCAAGATTTCTCTTCACTCGCTGTAAGACCATAATCGTGTGAATGCTTATTAAGCACCTTTTACTGCTCCTTTCACATTTTGTTTCAGTTCAGCTTCTTTTACTTTTCTTGTGCACATTTGTTTTAGCTCATTTCAGCTGTTTTGTGCTCCTTTCACATTTTGTTCTGCTAACTACAACATTTTGTGCTTCTTCAAACTTCTTTCTGCTAATTTCAACTTGTTATGCTACTTTCAGCTTATTTCTGCTAGTTTCAGCTTTTTCTTCTATTTCAGCTACTATTTAGCTGTTTTAGGCTAATTTTAGCATCTTCAGCTAACTCCACATTTTTGGCGCGCATTTAAACTTTTTTCAGCCAAATTCAGCAAAAAATGTGCTCTCTCCACTTTCTTCTATTAAATTTAAGCTTATTTCTGTTATTTTTAGCTACGCTTCAGCTCTTTTAATTGCTCATTTCTGCTTTTTCAGATAATTTCCACTTTTTTTTTGCTCTTTTCTGCTTCTTTCAACCTAATTCATCAAATATGTGTTTGTTCTTTTCCTAGTTTAGGTTTGTTCTTCCATTTCAGCATGTTTTTTTAAGCTAATTTCAGCTGTTTTCAGCAAGTTTTTTCAGCAATAAGCATTCACACTGCATTTTCGCAGAAAATACAAATCCTCTTGTTACGACTCGTTTTGGCATTACTAAATGCTAAAAATGTTTGGTTTTTATTTTTGCTTAAACATATTTTCCACAAATGATTGGGTCAAAAATAAGCAACGACTTCCATTTGGCTGCATCTAGGCAGAAGAGAGGTCACTGTCTGGGCTGCCATGTCAACATCCAAGATTCAAGGAAATTGTGCTTTCTAGTTTTTATTATGCCTAAAAGTATAGCTTCTTCAAATGATGGGGGGGCCCTGGGGTGGCTGAAAATCTATCTATGGTGGCCACGGCCACCATTGGCCACCCTCCGGCTCTACCGTTGCGCCTGTCAGTGGATAAAATTGCTCCCTCCACTCACCAGGATCCACTAACTCCTACCCACTTGAATATCATCATCTAAAAACATTAAGGTTTCCTTTCATTCCCTGTTCAACTGCAGCCTAGAAAAACACTCATCTCAAAAACTACAAACATGCACTAATCAACTCCCTCAGCGACGAGAGACCTCGTCGTACCGCTTGTTTCAGACTTGTAGCTCAATGGCTTCTGACCGGACTTCACCTGTCGTCTGCAGGTGTGTGGAGCTGATCATCAACGAGCAGCTGAGCAAGTACAAAGCTCGTCTGAAGGACATCAGCAGTCTGGAGTTTGCAGAGAGCAAAGCCAAGAGCAGACTGACCCACATCAGGAGGTCCATGGTGAGACCACACTCACGTCATCAAGCCGTCTTCATGTCGTGTTATTCAGTGGAGCTGTTTCCTTCCTGGCTCGTTTCCTTCGGCTCGTCGGAGACGACGTTCTGTTCAGTGAGCAGCTGATGGCGCAGCCATGGCTGATCGTTCCTGCGTGTTTCTCACATTGTTCGTCCACAGGTTTCGCTGGCTGGCTTTAAACTTTTAACACTTCACATTTTATGTAGGTTTTGTTGTGTTCCTAACGTACCTAAAGAGCTGAGGATGTAGAAAAACTCCCTGCAATGAAAAAAACCTCATTATGGAGACGACACAAAAACTAATACTGCTCATTTCTATTAATAAATAAAAATGTTTTTAGCACTCTTTAAGGATGACTGAATCAATAGGAGAAAACTGTCCAAATAACTTGTAAGGCTGCAGATCGGGTCTTTCAGTAATAAAATGTATAACACTGTACAGTAGGGGTGTAACGGTACATGTATTTATACCGAATCGTCACGGTACAGACATCGGGGGCAGCTGCGTGCAGTCGATGAACAAACTGTGGCTCACAGCTGTAATCAAAAAGCAGTGGAGGAAAATAGTCTAAAGCACTTTGCACCAAAGCACAGCTGGTTCAGATGAAACTCAGCACCCGCCTGTTTAAGGCTGAAAGGTTTTCCACTAATCCACAGCAACAGAGGAGGGGGAAATGTGGATGTATGGAAAGCCAAAAGGGTCATAATCTGGGCCCTTGAAATGCTCGCTGGTGTCAAATAAAGCGTTAAGCCACCTGTGTATAAAGTAACAGCCGAACAGCCAGGTGTGAGTGTTTTCTAGAGCCCGGCCGATATGAAAATTTGTCTCATCACCGATACCAGCAATGGATAACCGATATATTGCCTTTAAATGTTTTGGATCTACAATTTAGAACTACTTATCCACCAAAATTGGTAAACGTTTGTCCTTTTTCTAAAATATTGTTCACATTTTTGAAAGTTAAAAAAAAAAAAAAAAGTTGCTTTTAAAATTTTTTATTTAAACTCGCTTTTTTGTGGTCAGCAGGAACTGTTCGTTTTAACACTTTCCAATTCAGAAATGTTTTATTAATCCCAAAGGGGAAATTAAATGTTATAACTCGTTATCCTCGTTTCATTAAGAGATGTTATAGATGCTGATGGCTGTAGGCAGGAAGGATCTCTTGTGAAGGTCAGTCTCGCAGCGGATCTGAAGAAACTGGGCTTTTGGCCCACGTATGAAAAAGTCTGGACACCCCTGCCTTAGAGCCGCAGCTGAAGAATGGTTTTAAGTTGTTTCAGAACCTTTTGAATTTCAAAGATCCAAACTTTCCACGTTAGATTTGTTCTAATCTGCTGCTGGATGCGAGATATAAATACTGAACTGAAGTTTTTCTTTCAGCTTCACCGACTTAATCTCAGTTTAGCCTAAACCTTTACAAACATCTTCTTACCTGCAAATAACCGAATCATTTCCTCCGTGACTACCGTACCTTCCAATCCCTAACCCTGATCTGTCCTTCCTTCCTACTCCCGCCCCCCCTCCTTCCAGAAACCTGTACTAATTGCTGTTAGGTTTATGAGCATATCCCGCACGGCCACCCCGGTACGTATGCCCCCTTCACTTGGTTGTGACCGCCCGCCACCGGTCCTGTCCTGTCCATCTTGGATCCATGCTGTCTGTATCGCTCTCACCGTGTCTGTGTGTAAACTGTTAGGTGTCTGTCTGTTTGAGTCGTTTTGTTCCCGTTTACTCAACAGGGTCTTTACTGCAGGTCAAAGATGGTTAGCCGTGTCATTATTCCAACCTGCGCACAGTCAAACTAATTATCATTAATTACCAAACTGTTCTACATCAGCACCAAAGTTCATGCTCAATAATCCAGGTATAAAATCCAACAGTGTTCAGTCGGATCATCAGATTACATGCCTCACTTTTAAGAAATACCATGAAGTGATTCATTTGAATAGGACTGTATTAATTGTCATTTGACTGTTTTCTTAATTTGGAGTTATAACTATAAAAACATTTAGTTATTGATGTGAAATAATTGGGCTTTGGCTGACAAAGTGTTTCCTATAAATCAAATTTTTAAGCACAAATGTGGAAAAAAAACATGCAATAATCTTAAATTAAATGACCGTTACATGCGTTTGTCTTTTTAAAATCAAATAAACGAGCCACTGCAAGAAAAGACAAAAAAAAAAAATTTAACGTTGATCTCAAACATATATGGAGCTGAAAACATTTGAATTTATTGTGTTAAAGAAGCAGTTCGATCTTTGGACATGAGGAGAGGTGTGACCTACTCACCTGTTACCTGTTGATCTTTGAGGGGGGGTTCTTCTGACGGGAACGACGAGCTAACAGACTGCCGTCATTTACAGTCTACCTAAAGATCTTAGTGCTTCAGGCACCAACGATTCTACAAACGTTTAACTCCTCGTTTTTACATTTCACACTCGCACAGCTATTTTATGACGTAACACCTGTTAGCTGACACATTAGGACACTTTATATTGTTTTTAGTGTTTCTTTCTAAATCCAAGCCCTAACTACCAGGAACTGATCGCTCCAGTTTAAGAACACCACCGTGACGTTAAGCCAGCAGCCATTTTCTGTGTAGCTGTTTGTGTTCATGCAGAGTGCATCAGTCCGTCGCTCACTGATCACTCCACTTCCTGTTTCTGCTTCATGGCGTGTTAACGTGCAGCCTAACACAGCTTCATTGAAGGTATTACATACGTGTGTGTTTTGATGATGATTGTGTGTAGTGACATCGAGCAAACCTCATCCTGTCTTTAGCAGTGATGTATAGGTCTGTCGTGATAAACAATAGATCAATTAATCGCATGATAAATGAAAATTATCGAACTCATTTTCATTTATCGGCTTTATCATCTCTCTCGTTCCACTGAAGACGCTGGATGACAAAAGGCTCAACTCCGGTGCTGTTCACTGACCCCTCCCTTTCTCTTTAAAATCAGTTTGCATCGTCCAAAATCACGTTTTTGGATCGCTAAAAGCAGCTAAGCTGAGAAGCTAAGCTAACAGGCCGATCTCTAACTAATTTGACTAATTATTGTCAAATTTCAAACAATATTATCGTTTATCGCAATAATTTTTGACACAATTAATCGCCCAGCAAATTGTGTTATTGTGACAGGCCTGGTACCTGCGTAGCATCATGTGGTCACAGCTGAGTCTGCACAGATACACTTCTTCACTCTGTGTGTGTGTGTGTGTGTGTGTGTGTGTGTGTGTGTGTGTGTGTGTGTGTGTGTGTGTGTGTGTGTGTGTGTGTGTGTGTGT